ACTGAGCTGCCAAAATAGAGCCCTGTGTGAAATTATGTCTTTTTTTTGTAAACCACTAACGTGAGCTAATGAAAATGAATGTAAATGCTAGGACCTCAAAGTAACAGTGCAAACTTTGATTATCAGTGCAAGTTCTTTGAATCTTTATGGCAGGGACACAGAAATGTGATAACTTATTTTTTCTCAACATTAATAATCATGATTATTAGTCAGGATTGTTGTCATTTGAGAAATTTCTGTTTACATTTCATCAAAATTATTACACTTCCACGGACGGACAAATCAAGAGAATGTCAACACAAACTCATCTAGTTTCCTGACTTAACAGTTATGAAAACTGGTCAAACTTTAAGAAGCTTCTGTCAAAAGCTAAAACAGTAATTAGTAATTTTCTTATAAAACAACAAAAAAGTAATTGTATTGTAACACAGGAAGTGCATTTATTCAGCAACGACAATCGCAAATAATGTAGTCGAGATTCATGTTTGGATTTAACCATTTTTTTTCACTGAGAAGGTTTGGTCACAGATTTACTGGCAGCAAACAAGCACAAGTGGACTTGTGAAGGAGCACAGACCGGCTGTATTACAATTTTATTTGAGCAGAATATCACAATTGAGTTTGCTAAACTCCAACAGTTTGACTGTGTTTTCAGAGAGAGTATGTGTGCATGGTCACCAGGTTGTGTATTAGTAAAACACTTGGCAGAAACTGTATCCAGTTTGAGAGCAATGTTTAAGAGAAAAGATCTGATTGGGGAATTTAAACTGTCGACATCTTGCAACCCCGCCCATACATAAAAGCCAATGCAAGATCAATTCTAAAAAAAAAAAAAAAAAAAAAACGGTTTAAGGATAAATAACCAGTGGACCAATATCATAGACAATTATGTTCAATTAATCGAGGGAAGCAGATATCGTGATCATCATTAAAATACGATTAATCATCCATATTTTGTTGGAATTAAGCTTGTCTGTTCGTATCTCCATGGTCTCCAGCAGAATATTGAATGAGGGACTTTCGCCAGACTTGCCTGCAAACCTGTCATCTCCATTCCACAACAGAAACCCTCTTAAAAATAAACCATGAGGTCTGTCTGGGTCAGAATCCCTCATCAATCTGGCCTGGTTTTAACTAGATGTCTAAATGAGCACTGGACACTGTTCAGATTTTAAAAAGAGGTCAGAGTAAAATGATCAGTAGTGAAGAGAGTAGGGAATCATCCTTTGGCTACTTGAGCTAGAGTTTTTCTGGCTTGATTACAGCTGGAATTGCAAGACCGTAGTTGATATCAGTCCATTATTTAGGCTTCAGCCCGGAGAGGAGGTCTGACAGAAGGAGCCAGGAGAGACGAGAAGTATGAAGGAGTTTAATTAGGAGCATACCATTGAAGGAGACATTCCTTCCCACTCTTTTCCCTTCCTTGTCTTCAACCATGCTTGATTCTCAGAAACCTCCAGCCGCTCTACCCTTCCACAGCTCTATATTGACTATATCTGTGCATTTTAGCTTTTTATCAGCCCCCCTCCCTCACCACCGCCTGGCCATTTTCCACTTTGTTAGATTGATTACTTCTCATCGATGTTTTGGAAGGACAATCATGCAGCTTTCATCTCGCAGAGCTAATAAGACGTCAGAATGTTCTCACTGCTTGGTCCAAGTACAGGGTGTTTGTTGTCTACTGTATCTTATTTTTAGACCGGCAAACTATAGAAGCATTAATTTTGCCGTTGCTTCTTGGGAAATCAATTGCATTGGCTGTGTGTTTTGCCTTCTTGTAGAAATGAAGAGCATAGGAGTGATTATGAGTCATTATAAACCCATGGGAAAGAAAAAAATCTTTTTAAATTCTCAAATGTTTCTCCTAAACAGTAATGGCATTAAATGGAGTTCAAATAGAGACTTTTGCTTAAGTGAGAAAGAGACCCCAGTGACGTAATGTGTCTTCTCTCTCAACGTGTCTCATTCTGTGTTCACATTGGCCCTTGAAACCAAATGGATCTCATTTGTTTCTCACAAGTTCAAATAGAGAATTTTGCTCTACTGAGATAAAGACCCCGATAAATATGCTCATATTTGCCAAGTCTGCAATCAAAAGTCACATCTATGTTCCATTAAAGCCATGATAATTAATTTTATAGCTCTGTACTCTTACTCTCTATGTCTCATTTGTGTACATTTTTTATTTATTTGAAACTATGCTTCAAAGAAGTAAGACATCCACTAAGCCTTCTGAGCTATGAGAGAGCAACATCTGAGCGCATTTTGTTTCTCTCAGGGGAATGGGTGTTTGTTTAGCCATTTATGGCCATCTTCAGCATACACTCTGTGATTGGCTAGCTCTACCACCCTACAGCAGAACGTGTGTGTGTGTGTGTGTGTGTGTGCGAGGGCTGGTGACAGGTGTGGACACTCTGACAGGTGCACATATCTGGAATGAGTGGCATAGCGGCGGACTGTCAGGGGGTTCAGAGCGGCTTCATGCTGGGTCTTAAACTGCCGATCCCTGCTTGAGCGCTCACTCAGCCAGCATGGCCTCCCATCAGCACACTATAGTCTACTCTGCCTCTTCGCACTCCGTTGCTTTAGATCGACAACACCGCAATCTTCCCCCACCCTGGTGTCGAGGCAATACCTGAGTTCTGCTAGTTAGGGGGCATCCTATCATTGCAGGCGAGAAAAAGAAAAAAAAAACACTTTTGAAGTAACCAATTTGATTGGACTACCACAATTAGGACATCTGGAGCAGTACTTTACGGATATATAGCATTATAAAGTTGTTTAGTTTGTCTTTTTTAATAACTGAAACTCAAAATCCGTCATTTTCTATTTCAGTCGCACGAAACAACCAGACTGGTACTCATCATCAAAGCATTTGATAAGCTCAATATGTATAAAGGAAGAAGAAAAAAAGCTCCCATCTCGCAGTGCCACTCTCCACACATTCCCTCAACACCTAATAGAAGCGTGTCATAGCGAAGAAAAGAGGATGAGAAACCCGTCTTCATCAAGCCCTCGCGTCAGCAGAGTAAATTAATTCTTGTGTGATTGATGCAGACAGGCAGATGAAGGCAGAGAAGGACTGTGTGTGAGAGCGCAAGCTGCACATATGTTAGCTGGTGGCTAATATCCCGCCACGCCACACTTAAAGCCAGTTGATCCAGCGGAACGCGTCCCGCTTTGATGAGACGTCAGACTGCTCGAGAACCTTGTGCAGATAATGTCACGAGACAGTTGAAGGGGGTTGGGTCTGGTGTGGCATGTGGCAGTGTGCCTCAAGTTTTTATTTCTTCTTTTCACAAAAAAAAAAAACACAACAAAACATAATGTCTCTCAGAATTTCTAATATTAGCTGATTTTGTATCTCTCAGGATGGCAGAATCTCTTAACTACATTGAATGAACACAATGGCTTGATGGTGAATTAATAGTCATTTAAGATGTGTTAGTGTTAATACAAAAGTAATACTCTCTCATAGGTGACTTTATTGCGAGAGGAAGATCTCATTCCTACAAGAAGGTGGCCATCAGGTGGCAGAGAGAGAAACTGCTGCTTTAATATATCAGGGGAGCCCACAATTCTTTCTTGTACTGTTAAACTAGCTCGTTTGCTTAAGCATAGCACAACTTTTCAGCTTCATCACACATTTTTTGTTTACAGTATGTTAATGGTTATATCAAAATAATCCCCATATCTTTTAATATGTTCCTTGAGCGTCTCTCTGTTAATCTATTTTGGCCAGGTCTATAGGCGTCTCTCTCATGTGGTCAGTAGCAGTAGGGCTGTTCCTTGCTCCTGAAATCACATTTAGACATTTTTCTCTTTGGTACCCAGATCTGGTTAAATATTAACATTTATATTTTAGGTTGGTCCTTCCTGTCATGTGTGTGTATGTGTGTGTGTATCATCTTGTCTCTCGACAACTTCCTTTACACCGACTTACAAGGAATATGTATGATTATTTTATATTACATAAATATAAATAACCTGACCATAAATAGTCTAAAGCAAACAAGATTCTAAAAAATAAAATGTCAGCTTGAATTCCTTGGTTAATAAAACTTGTAACGTTTCTACACTAGTGGTTCTCAAGTGACAAATAAAATGTGACTTGTAAAAAAATGTGCCTAAAAATTATTAAATTAAATTATTATTAAATTCAATATATACATTACCGTTAAAAAATTTGGGTTTGGTGGGATTTTTTTTTTTATTAAGAAGTCTCTTATGCTCACCATTTATTTGATATATAGTGCAAAAAGTAATATTTCAAAGTATTATTACAATTTTAAGTAATTGTTTTCTGTTTTACAATATTTTAATATTTAATGTATTCCTGCGATGGCAAAGCTCAATTTTAAGCAGCCATTATTCCTTTATAGTCTTCAGTGTCACATGATCCTTCAGAAATCATTCTCATATGCAGATTTGCTGCTCAATAAACATGTATTTCTTGTAAAACAGTTGAGCGGCTGATACTTCTTTTTTAATATTCTTTGATGAATTTTTTTTTTTTTCAAAAGAACAGCATTTGTTTGAAATAGAATTATTTTGAAACATTCTAAATGTCTTTACTGCTTTAGCTTCAACTTTAGCTTAATTTAATGTGTCTTTGCTAAGATGTATTAATGAAATGTAACTTTCGTCGGTGTATGAGTGAGTGTGAATGAGTGAATGTGAGGCAATATGTAAAGCGCTTTGGTGGCCATTGGGTCTGTGAAAGCGCTATATAAATGCAGTCCATTTACCATTTCTTTCTTTCTTTCAAAAAAAAAAGTCTCACTGACCCTATAATCTTTTGAACGATACTGTACATAACTGTACACAACACTTTTGAGGTATAGTTTCCCCCAAATACTGGAGTGGGCTATAGTGTATATGTTGGGTTTTGAACTCTGGAAAGCATTCAGTTTAATCCTGTCTAAATACAGCTTGTATGACCCACCTAAGGGACTACATGGTGGTTGGTATTTGAACTGTGTGCAAACTTGTATTTACAGACCCTGAGAAAGAAGGGTCTAAATGGCTGTGACAGCCCTGACCCCGACGCAGACGACTCGGTGGGCCACAGCCCTGAGTCAGACGACAAGTTCCATAAACTCAACAACGACATTGATCTGCACATGATCAGCAGACAGAGGATATGTGTAAGTACCTGCATTTCAGACTAGCCCTCTCACACTTCCTTTCTCTTTCTCTCTTTTTTTTCTATCTCTCTTTGTGCTCTGGCTCACTGTTCGCTCTGTGCGGGCCATCAGGCATTGAGCAAGAAGGAGAACAAAGGCGGCGAGAGCCTGGAGCTCGAGTCTGCTCTCGCTCTCACTCCGCGCACGGAGGAGAAATACAAACAGATTAACGAAGAGTTTGATCTAATGATCAAGACTCAGAAGATATCTGTAAGTACAGTGAAGAGAGGAGAGGCTGAAAACTAACAGCTTTGTGGAAAAGCTAACAAACATATTTGGAGAAACAAAGCAGTTCATTCTAATCTTGATTTAACCTTATGTACCGTATATAGATCTCATATAAAATATATATCATGTAGATATACTGTATCTAGTATATACACTGGCACTGCCCTTGGATGCATGGGTGATAATTGCCTTTCTGGGATATGACTAAAACAAGTAGAAGTACAAAGACAATTACTGTGAGAAAAACAGTCATTTTAACCTCCAGAGTGTGTTTTGTGCGTTGGAAGGCCTTCCACCGATTGGTATTCAGAAATAGATACTCTTCATTACATGTTCGAACCTACAGCCTGATTGATTTCAACAAATTAATTTGCAGACCTTGCATGTGCTTTCCTAGCTACTTATGTGTCAAAGAATTAAGAGAAATAAAACAGCATGCTCTACTAAAGACAATATACTGCATGTTTAAAAAAGCTTGAGAGTCATGATGTTAGCTTCATATTGATCAGTTCAGTATTATTTCTCAAATATCTCAAAATATGGCACAGCAAAAACAAAATAATTAAATAAAAAAATCAGCACAAATCTATCCATCCATCTATCTATCTATCTATCTATCTATCTATCTATCTATCTATCTATCTATCTATCTATCTATCTATCTATCTATCTATCTATCTATCTATCTATCTATCTATCTATCTATCTATCTATCTATCTATCTATCTATCTATCTATCTATCTATCTGTCTGTCTGTCTGTCTGTATGTCTGTCTAGGTAATTTGCCAATGCTGTTAGAAACAAAAGATCATCTTCAAGGAAAGTTGGAAGTCTTAGCACCTTGCATGATTTTGATATGTATTTATTTTGTGATTAAAGATACTGTATGTCCAGTAAGCTACAGTGTTTTATTGGTTATAGGAATTAGGTTGGGTTGGGTGGAGTGGTAAATACAGTAATAGTGGTGAAGATAGTTGCAGTTCGCTCTGTGGTCCCAGTGACTGAGTTATATTTTTACCAGTTAGAGAGTACAGTAACACAAAAAGGAAGAAAGGCACCATGCCGAAGATGTGCAGCCTCAAGTACACAATAAGATGTGGAAATCTCTTTCATTTAAAAATAGGGATGCAGTTCAGAAATCTTAGCAAAGATGCTAAAGATTCCCCGATGTTCTGTTTGACGCTTGACTGTTATTATTGCTTAGGGTGACCTGAATCATGTACCTATTAAACAAAAAAATAGTAATTTAGATATTGACCCCTTATTTTCTTTTCACTTTTAATACATTTTATTAAAAACAATTATATAATTAAATTAGGCTAATATTTACTGAAGCAGTATCCCTCTGTTTTGTCAGAGAGTAGACAAGCACTTTTTAGGTATGTGGTCTAATAATATATTTGACTATTACCCCAGGAAAAAAATTTCAATGTACAATAACTGATTGGTGTTATAAGGTTAGAATGTGGTTTATAAATTAGTTCTCATACAATTTCAAAAAAAAGTCATGAAGCATCAAACTAATATTTTTCAAGCTATTAAAAGGCCTTAGGGTCTCTGAGACTCCAAACAGAACATGAAGGTAAAGACGGAAAAATGAACACCTAACAAAAGTGAAGCTGTGCCCGCCAAGACCTCTGCGGAGAGAAAATATTTGGCTGCCTCAAGCCATGATTGCTGTGGCCTTGTGAGTTAATGAAGAATGAAAGAGTGAGAAAGAGCGAGAGGCTCCTCTTCAGTTCCTGTCAGTTGATGCTCTCCCAGATGAGCACTTACAGACCCTTAGGACACATGGCTACAATTAGGGGCTATTTTGTCCCTAAGAAAACATAATGTGAAGGAGGAAGGACTCTCTTCAAGGTTAAGCCTGTGTCTTTTGGAGTGACATGAACAAAAGGATTTACAGAGATTTAGAGAGGTTAGAGTCATCTCAGCCTGTTCGTTTAGGGTAGATAACAGAGAACATGGACAGAAATACTTCTCGGGAGTTCTAAGAATTGATGCCATTGCTATGGAAGCTTGTTTCCGCCACGGAATAAAACAATTTAAAAGATAATTGCGACTTTTTATCTCACAATTCTGACTTTTTTGTGAGTTATGTCAGAATTGTGAGATATAAACTCGCAATTGCGAGAAAGAAAGTCAGAATTATGTGATATAAACTTGCAATTACGAGAAATAAAGTCAAGAAACTCGAAATAATGACTTTTTTTCTCAGAATTGCGAGTTTATACCTCCCAATTCTGACTTTATAACTTGCAATTTTGACTTTATATCACGCAATTCTGAGAAAAATAATTGTGAGATGTAAACCCGCAATTGTGAGAAAAAAGTCAGAATTGTGAGATTAAAAAAGGCGCAATTATATTTTTAAATTTTTTTATGTGATGGAAACAAGCTTCCAACATTGCATTCAATATATTTGTCAAAAAAAAAAAAATTTGCTTTGCAAAAGGTTAAGTATTCAGTTTTGTTTTCCCACTGCTTTGCCTTTGTATTCAGTGTGTTTAACTTGTTTTCACCATTATTATTGTAGTTTGTTACTAATCAGTATTTTAAAGGTATTTATTGCTTCTGTCTCCAACCAGGCGGTGCCCTCTTCCACCTACGAGATGCCCATCCCAGTGAATAACCAGATCTACCCAGGCAATCATAACCTGCTTCCACTGGCCCACCACAGCCTGCAGAGGAACAGCATGTCACCCGGGGTCACACACAGACCCCCTAGTGCAGGTAAACACACACACACACACACATACATATATCATATTGTGCATAGTGTGACTGTAAAATATATATATTTCATTAAAATATAACTTTCATTGCCTCTGAAACTACTTTTTTATCCTGCTGATGTGACCAAGTCCTATTAAAAAATACTATTAAAAATAATAATAATTACAATCGTATTAAAGTTAGACGTGTTACAAATTCTCTGTCATACATACAGAATAATATTACCAATAATTAATTTAATACTCACCATTCCCCTATATTTATATTCATATGTCCTTTTGTCTGTATTTCCCTATGGCCAATATTCGTACATTTTTAGAAAAAAAAGGTTCAGTGGGGCTCTATAGGCGTAAAGCTTTTATTAGGAGAAATGTCTTAAATGATTGCATAATACTTTCATGTTTAATGGATTATTTAAAAAAATTCTAGTGATAAAGCATGTTTACAAGCCGTTAAAAGTGATACGATTGAATCAAAATATAAAATGAATTCAAATTAAATTAATTAATGAAAAAGAAATCCATAAAATGATTCCATGATGGGAACCCAAAAAAAGGTTTTATATATGATGCACTTGACCAGAACCCTTTAAGGTTCTGTAGAGAACCTTTTCTTTTAGAGCGTACAGCACGATCCCGTTGGCACTTTGTTATTGTTGTGTTGTCTTGCTTCATTAGACAGAGTCTCTCACCCACAGCTCTGTCATTAAAACAGCTTTCTCCTGATGCAATCAGCTCTGTGTTCCAGGAGCGCTTAGCTAAATATGAGTTTTGGCCCAGCCTGCACGCCTCTGACCACACTTGCTCCCCTGCATGCTTAAAAATAAAAATGTGTAATTTTTCTTGGACACGGCGGACGAGCCCCGTCGGCCACATCGCTTCCTCCTTAGAAAAGTGTGCTGAGGTGGAAAAGGACAGTGTTTTGTTCTTCTCAGACACAAACACACGCACGTCTCTGTCACCTTATATTTGTCTTTCGGTCTCCCTCGCTCTTAAACATGCTGGGAGGGAGGATGATCTCTATGGCTTGATGGAGCTGAATAAATGATCTGACAGTTTTAAGAAGGAAGATTTTGTGGTAGGATATGGATGTCAGCTGCAATGAAGTGACTGAATCTTTCTCTCTCTCTCTCTCTCTCTGTCTCTGTCTCTTTCTCTTCCCATGCTAGGTGGTCTGATGGGCACTGATCTCTCCACTGGCGCGGGCACCAGTGCTGGTAAGGACGGCATCCCCACATACTACAGTATGTTCCCTCTCCATCATGACTTTTACTCAGCCAATAACTGCACGAATTCTCTTCCAGCTCTAACCAGCCTCGCAAATTTTCAGCAGAACGTTCTGTTTGTTTAAGCTGGGCTTGTATTCACAGTAATTTCTTCGCAGACTTTAGTCATTAAGTGAACTGGACTGAACTGGATTGGTTCAAACCCCAACAGCTTCAGTAACTGAAAATATTTGGTTTTGTTTTTTCACTTCAATTCTTGCGAAATAATTACTGTACAATAGTTGTGTTGTGTTAACGTGCGTATCAGTATTAGCATACAATTAGCATATTAGTTTAAGCAAAAAGTTGAGGAGTCGGTACTATTTTTTTGTACTTTTGAAAGAAGTCTCTTATGCTCACCAAGGCTGCATTTATTTGATCAAAAATACAGTAAAAACAATAATATTGAGCTGAATTTTCAGCAGTCATTGTTTCAGTCTTCAGTCAGTGTCACGTGATCCTTCTCACTGATTTGGTGCTCACGAAACATTTCGTATTAGTATCAATGTTGAATACAGTTGTGCTACTTTACATTTATTTGAAATATGAATCTTTTGTAACATCATAAAAGTCTTACAGTGATTTTTGATCAATTGAATGCATCTTTGATGAATAAAAGTATTATTTTTTTTATAAAAATAGATCGTATTGACCCCAAACCTTTTAGTGCAATTAGCATTAAAGCATTTCCTTACTGAATTTGTCAGGTTTGGTGAAATCAAATGCACGCACTCTTGTTGTGTGCTCTTCAAGCATATAGAGATGTTGTTCATCCCTATAAGCTTTGTAAATATCAGCTTTTTTAGTAAAGAGGTAAACAAGCATATTGGCATTAGCAATATGCCGTACTGTCTGAGCCATGTCCCTTTGTTTGTTTGCTTCAGCTCTTGTCTGAAAATGATAGCGCACACAGCTCCCCTCTCACCCTGTACTTCTGCTTTATGTCCTTTGTAGGATAAGGGCTACCGTGTGTTTGGAGTGAAACATACTTGGAATATTTTTTCCATCTAGTAGCCCAGTCCTTTTGGAGAATTTGTATATGAGTTTCTATATACCAGAACAATCCACTTGAAAGGAATAGTTATACAGTCGGATTGGTGCTTTGGCTTGTGGTTGCCTCAGAGTCTGTGGGTATATGTGGACGTCTGTGTATGCGTGTCTGTGCATCTGTTTGCGTCTGCGCGCGTGTGTGTGTGTGTGTGTGTCTGCAGTCTTAACCACTAACCAGTGGTCACTGCAGAAGCATGGCTTGGATATTTAAAGCAGGACAGTAGATGTTTTGAACTTGGCCTCCGGGTTGCTGAGACACAGCTGGGTAACCTTGTCTGGCCCTGAGTCCATTGTATGAGGGCGAGGGTAAGGTCTGTCAACTGACCCCCTCTCCTCACTGTCTCGAATGCACAAAAGTACCACTTGTTGGTGTGGCCCTGCTGTCCACATTCAAGGTCTCCAGCCATCAAATATAGCCATTGTGCCGATGACAGGCTAACACAGGGCACAGTGTGGAGTTGATGTAGGCCACAACTCTGGAAACAAGAGTTGAAGAGAGTCAAACGACACAAGCAGCCTTTTAATGGTCTAATAGAGAATACATGAATATTCATGACTCCTTTTCTCTCGCTCTCTTCTAGCAGCCTTAGTTACTTATTGATTCCAAGACTTTTAGTGTCCTTTTTTTTTAATGACTGATTTATTATTATTATTAGTATTAGTAGTAGTATACAGGCATTGCATTAAGAATGAAACCATAGCAATAAATATATAAATCTAAATATACTATTAATACAATAATTAATAATATATAAGTACTTTTTTTTATATATATACCAGTCACAAGTTTGGACCCAGTAAGATTTTTTTTTTTAAAGAAATTAAAATTGTATTCAGCAAGGATGCATGTAGTTGATCAAAAGTGAGAGGTTTTTTTTTACACAAATATTAAGCAGCACAACTATTTACAACATTGATAATAATAATAATAAATGTTTCTTGACACCAAATCAGCATATTAGAATGATTTCTGAAGGATCATGTGACACTGAAGAGTGAAGACTGGAGTAATGGTGCTGGAAATTCAGCTTTGTCATCACAGCAATAAATTACATTTTACAAATATTAAAATAGAAAACCGTTATTTGAAATGTTTTTATTGTATTTTTTGATCAAATAAACAGCCTCGGTGAGCATAAGAGACAAAACCATAAAACAAAAAAAAACTTTTGAACAGTAGTGTCTAGTGTGTATATATTTGAACATATTTTTTCAAGTTATGTTATGGAGTGGTGTTTTCTAGCAAAGTGTGCCATGTTAGGATGTCCGTCGCAGACAGTTATTTGTTTGGCTGTCAGCCTGGCATTCTCAGACAACCGCGAATCCTCTGCTACGTGTATTTATGCATCTGCAACACATGTTGTGCTATGAGATATGGAGAGGTCAGCCAACACATGAGAGAAAGTCTATTTTATCTCGAAGGAGTGAGTTGCAAGTCCATTAAGTGTTTTATTTCTCTGTTTTTTTATTGTTAATTTACCGCTTACAGGCATTTGGTCCAACCACACCTCTGCAGTTTACGGGTCTTTGAAGTAGCAGTGCATGTGCAGTTCTTTCAGTTGCTTGAACCGAGGCTGGCCTGAAACCTCAACACCGAGTCGACAAACACGGACAACAGGATTAATGCGACCGTTACACCACAATAAGAAATCAGAGAATGTCCAACTCGCAGGGAAAGCAAACGTGTGCTTAACCACACTAGCTGGTCAGCTCGCTTTGACGCTGAGTGGAAACTTAGGCCAAGCCCATTTACAGTTAAGCCTCCTCTGCGGAGCCCCAGAAATAGAATCGGCTCCTTTATCACGTGTACACATCAGGCGATTTGTGTGTGAGGAGGGGACCGCTCGTTTCTGGGCAGCTGTAATTTTAGTACTTCCCCATTGTGAGGGCGATAGCTGGGCCACAAGCGCACAGGGAAGATACTTGTGTGGCTTTTGCAAGGGAAACAGCGTGAGTCAGAAGATGGACACTGTTTTGGCCTATAGCGCACTGGTTTTGAATCTGAGATGCCGTTTTCAGTGACTTACAGAACAAGCAACGGCAACAAAAAAAAAAGCCTGAGATAAATGAGTTTCGTGCTACTTTTTGGCCACCTGAATCCCAGCTGTGCCGCTTCTGATCCATAAATCAAGTCGCCGTGGCTCATTCATCACCAGTGTCTAGCACACGTCCTTAGTTGAACTCATCGTCTCCGTCTGTCTGCTGTCGACGGGTCACTTTAACTCTTGCTTGGTATTGCTAATCACCAATGGCCAGGCCTGTTTCCAGAATCAAATCACTGAGGGTGCTCTAGTACAGTGCAGATGTAGGCTGAGCAACGACTCCTCCATAGCAGTGTACAGTGAGACATTTAAGGTTATTTACAAGTCATCACTTTTACCAATAGTTGGAATAGAATTTATTTAAAAAATTTGCTACGAATATGTTTCTATTAATCTATTAGTCTGCCTTTATACTGCTGCATTACTATTTTAACATGCCATATTTCTATCCTGTACAGAGTGAATCCGAAACTTTGCAGCATGCAATTGGCCGTCGGTCCTTTTAGCAGCATGACAATAGTTTTATTCAATGGATTATATAGGCTGTAGCCTCGAAAGCGAGCCAAGATCGCTCCCTTTACAATCACTAAAACGCTGTCGCTTTGTCAGTTCATTGCGATCTCACAAAAGTCCATTAAAATCAATGAAGCTGGCAGCAATGCAGAATAAATCTCTTACTTGTTACGAAGCATAGGAGACGTTCAGATCCAAGTGCAGCTTGTCCTTTATTTAACAGAGTAGTCACCAGGCAAGGGTCAAACACCAGCAAACACAGCAGAGAAGATCAGGCAAAATCGTGGTCAGTAAACAGGCAGGATATCAGGGCAGGCAGCAAACAGGAAGGATACAGGAACCAGGCAGAAGATCAGGAACAGACAAGGTCAAAACAGGCAGGAATATACATGGGAAAACGCTTGGAAATGTTCGCAGCAGCAAAACAAGACTTCGCGGTGAGTGAATGAATGAGCATGGTATATATGGACTGAGACTAACAGGATGATGACACACAGGTGAATGCAATCAGAGAATGAGGTACAGGTGATTGTGATCAGTGATGAGTCCGGGCAGTGAGTTATGGGAAATGTAGTCTGTGAGTGAACGTGAGAGTCTGATGTGGAGTCCCCTCTGGTGGCTCTCAAGGGCACTCCAGCTGGTAACCGTTACATAGCCCCCCCTTTAAGGAGCGGATTCCAGACGCTCCTCAAATTGTCCAGGAGGGAGGTGGAGCGGAGGCGGACCTGGGGGCGGGATGGAGGGCCAGGCCCATGGAGCGGAAGAGGACCTGGAGACTGCGGCAAGACTGGAGACCAGGGCGGAGCAGGCAGTGCAGGCGACCAGGGCGGAGCAGGCTGTGCAGGCGACCAGGGCGGAGCAGGCTGTGCAGGCGACCAGGGCGGAGCAGGCTGTGCAGGCGACCAGGGCGGAGCAGGCTGTGCAGGCGACCAGGGCGGAGCAGGCTGTGCAGGCGACCAGGGCGGAGCAGGCTGTGCAGGCGACCAGGGCGGAGCAGGCTGTGCAGGCGACCAGGGCAGAGCAGGCTGTGCAGGCGACCAGGGCGGAGCAGACAGTCCATCGGGCGGCCAGGGCGGAGCAGACAGTCCATCGGGCGGCCCAGGCGGTGAAGACCCTTCGGGCGGCCACAGCGGTGAAGACCCTTCGGGCGGTGAAGACCCTTTGGGCGGCCACGGCGGTGAAGACCCCTCGGGCGGCCACGGCGGTGAAGACCCCTCGGGCGGCCACGGCGGTGAAGACCCCTCGGGCGACCACGGCGGTGAAGACCCCTCGGGCGGCCACGGCGGTGAAGACCCCTCGGGCGGCCACGGCAGTGAAGACCCCTCGGGCGGCCACGGCGCAGGAACA